TTACTAGCACCTTTTCCATTTTTCTGCATATTTTTCTTACAGTGTACTGTAAGAAACAGTGTAACTCATCAACAATCGCAGGTACGAGCTACTAGCAAAGTGTCTCATAAATGAAAAATACCAGTATTCAATTATTATTATTATTATTATTACTATTAAACAATTGCAAATAGCAGCTAACTTAATTCCTGTAACGTGTGTACTGCTAGGCATCTTTGGTTTCCTCTTTTTGTGTAATTTAAATGGTAAATTGTGACTTTTTATCGTTTGAGTCACTTATCAAAAGTTGCTAAAAGCTACCAAATAAATACAAAAAAAATAGCTAAATTTGTTGCTAGGTGCTTTTGGAAGAAAAAGTTGCTAGGGTAGTCTGAAAAGTTGCTAAATTTAGCAACAAAATTGCTAAAAAAATTGCAACAAAGTTGGCAACACTGACTGAGACGCAAGGTGGCGCCAATTTCGTTTGTTTGAATCAATCAAGGGAGCGCGAATCCGCGTGTGATACGTGACATGAAAGTAGTGCCAGGATTGATACCGTGCTTCGCGTTCCGTTTTCCTCCAACAGCAAAAGAAAATCCACTCGTTTGTTTTCACGAGCTTTGCAAAAGAGTGAAAATATACAGAGCTGGATTAAAGCAGTCAGACGAGAAAAATATGTTGAATTTACAGCCTCTACCTCAGCAACAGCATTAGAAAAAAGTGTTTACTAGCTTTTGGCAATTTAATGGCAGGATAATGCAATAAAAAGTACAGTTATGAATATACATTATTTTAAAAAAAAAACTTGGTGCGTCTCAAATGTATGTTGGACACCATTCACAGTCACAGATTTCCTTACAGCAGCGGCTGTCAGACTCTGATGCTAGACGGTAAAGTACATAGTAAAAGCGCATATTGTTTATGTCATTTGGGGCACAACTTTTTAACTGCTGCAGAAATGCATCATCATGGTCTGAAATATCTTAAATATTCCTGAAAGACATCTAATAAATCTTGGCACGATTTCAAAGTTCTGTCAAATTTTTTTTTTTTTAATCTGTAGGCTATGGCAGGAATTGTGTTGTTTAGGTAATTACTTGGCTTTAAATCCTTTAAATACCTCTCAGCTCATACACACACACACACACACATTGCTCAAAGAGCCATTACTGATGAGTGAGAGGGAAGTGAGAGAGTCAGTCCTGGCATCAGTGCAAAGTTGTTAGTGCTGGCTGAATGGAGGCTGAATGGAGGTGAGTGCACGGGATACTTAATTGGTCCAGTGTGCATGTGTGCGAGCATTGGTGATAATTGCGGTTCACAGGTGGCCACAGTGGTGGCCTGTCCAAGCTTTGAGTTCATACCAGGGCCTGGGACAAAAGATAAAAGATTCTAGAGCTCTTTGTTATTGACTGTGGTCAAAGCCTCTGGCCATCCCTGTGTCCACCTAGACATGAGTTCATGAGTCTCTATCCTAAAAATTCAAACAAGAGCCTTGATGCAAAGAACGCAAATTGATGTTAAGATCACATGGCAGCATTTACATTCAGAATAGTAACAAGTATCAGGAAACTGTTATACTTTTCTAGCTTCTTCTGCTTTCGAACTCTCAATAAACCATTAGATTAAAAAAAAGTGCCTGAAGATAATTAAAACTGCTGAGTAAAACTAGTTCTTGTAATTGTGCCAACAGTTCAGTACAGCCTCATAATGATGAGCTCAAAAATGTGTTCAAATGTCCACTGTTTTCACATCAATGCGATAAAGGAAATTTTAGTGGCATTATAGCAAAAATACCCCAGTTAAACCTTTCTTGGCGCCTCCTATCAGATATTGTTATCAGATAATGAAGAAATTCTTTCAAACATAGATATGCCATTAGCATTGAGCATGCAGTCTCCCCGGGCATTTCCCTTCTTTGTTGACTGAAGGATCAAAAACATGTTGAAACAAGATGACACGCTGCAAAGCGGCATATAGCATCAAGATTTTCCTGATAATCATACTGAAATAGCTTGTCAGATATGAAAGAGTTTGCGTTTAAGCCTTCCAGGGTATTTTCTGGTAAGATCATCTTTCTGTAACATAGACCAAGCAAAATGGCTGAGAGCGCAAGAACATTGTGCATTGATGGAGTGATATCTATGCTGCAAATGAGTCAAAACACAGAGGATATATGGTATGACATATGCTAGGATACCTACCACATTACGTTATCTTCAATTTAGTAGTGCTTACCTAAAAATATTCAAAAATATATCAGCTACATGAAGATGGGGGACAACACAGGCAAAATCAGATTTTTTTTTTAAATGCACTCATATTTTGAATGATATTTCCTCATTTTGTTATAAACTCAATGATTGAACTAAACCACTTTGGTGTCAATGTACTTTTCCTCATGGGCCTAAATCAAGTAGGAGGAGTTTCCCAGAACGGATTGACAGAAACGATGTGACATTCATGTCTGTTACTGCCTCACTTAAGAGAGTGTGAGTGAATTCAGTTTTCACTGTGACACTGCTGAAGATCGAGGGTCACACTTGGATAGAAGCTGTTTCATAAGGAAGTAACTAAGGATTTAAATACTCTGTGACACTGTGTGAATGAAACCAAACCAGACTGAGATAATAACTGCCATTAAGGTGTGCAGCACTGTGAGGTGTGTGCTTGTTTGGCCCTCTGTCAAGTAGTACTGTAATTATGTAACATGAGGACTGTGAAATTTGGCTTATGGATTACAGTAAAGACAATCACTGAAAGAATAGGAAAAGAGGGCAAACAGTTTTACAGTACAACTAATGTGTGGTATGTTTATAAATGTAAACATACATACCATATAAACACACTGAGAGAAATAGGGATTCAAATTCTAATTGTTAAAACATGACTTGCGGGTTGCCGTGTGGATGTATATGTTTTTGTGTATGTGTTTGTGGGATTGAACTCAAGCAAAAGGAGTGCTGTGTATGGGTGGTCAAATAGTTTACAATTTCATCTGTGACCAACTGGCTTACTGGAAAGAAACATAGGATCCTTCCATTTCAACAGGCCATGCCACCTTCAAGGTCAGACTCTGACTGTTTGTTTGTGTGTGGTACAGAGGGAAAAAAGTTTTGTGATGGACTTCCTGCCCGGAGCTCCCAAAAAAAAACAAAAAACATACTGTGTATGCATTGTTATTTCTTCTGTTTAAATCACAGGCCTTAAATGTAAGAGCAAAACAGCTGTATTTGCCTATAATTTTCAATTGCTTACACATACACTGCTGTTCAAAGGTTTGAAGTCGGTAAGATTTTTTACGTTTAAATTCTCATATGCTCACCAAGACTGCATTTATTTGATCAGAAATAGAGCACAACAGTAATATTGTGAAATATTATTACAGTTTAAAATAACTTTCTTCTATTTTAATATATTTAAATTGTGATTTATTTCATGCTACATTTTTCAGGATTCATTAATAAATAGAAAGTTCAAAAGAAAAACCTTTATTTGAAATAGAAATATTTTTGAATGGAAGTTCATAACATGTATCTGTATGTCCAAATCAGCATATTCTCTGTGAAATATAAGGTTGTTTTTGCTGTTCACTTACATAATGAATTCATTTATATTAGAAATGTAACAATATTTATTATATTATATTATTTCACTAGAGTCCTGGCTCACTGTAAATAACTGGATTTTTTATTAAATTTTTTTAACTCCAAATCCTAGGGCAACATTTTCATGTTCCACGATAGTATAAGAGCAACAGTAACTGCAGCAACAGCAGTGGTAACAGTAAAATCAGCACTAATAGGAACAATACTAGCTGTAATACTAATTTTATAGAATAAATAATCTGCCAGTGGTTAACATAATGGTTGTCAAACATTTGTTTATAATCACATAAACCTCTTTTCACTCTTGGCTCTCTCATTCCCTGTACTTCCTTCTCTGTGAGACATAATCTTAAACCAGTTTGCGTTCTTTCTACCCCTCTGCTGTGTCTACACTGGTGGTGGGTACCTGCTGTGGTGACCGTGAGAGAGATTGTAGCACAATGTCATCAGCACGACAACAACTGCTACTCCCACAACCCACAGAAATACCTCACCGGCCTTTAGAGAGCACAACAGCGTGTGTCTGTCAGTCCAACACAGAGCTAAAGCCAGTGTGAATTCCTCAAAGTATGCTCAAATATACACAGATGAGCTCCACAGCTGCTCTTTAAAGGATTCGGATCATAGAAGAGAGGGCAAAGCTGTGAGCTCACAGTTCCTATTAGCATCCCATGTCTAATGACACGTCCCATCAGGGCAGGACAATCCTGGAGCTGTGCTAAGAGACTATCTTAAGATGGTGGTGGCTCTGACATGCCAGGTAACAACAATGAACATACCAGACAGGCTGACATTGCAGAAACTCCAATGCGCATGATGTGTTTCACCGCTAGAGGACAACACAACACTCATTCTTGCATCTGAAAATCTCCTGAGCTGTTGGAGAACTTTTCATCTTCAAGGTACCTGATGAATTATGTAATTCCTGTTTGATAACGTAAGCACAAACAACAATATTTGTCTTTTTCATCAGTTTATTACTAAAATAGGTCTTCTGTAGGGTTTGTTTCACTTATAGCTGGTGTATTGTTTGTATAAAGAGCTGACAGATGTGGGTATTTTTCAGGGGATTTTGTTTAGCTGAAGCGGACACGGCGAATTGAGCCAATGGTGCTGTTTTGAGCACCCCAGTCAGAGAAGCTGTTGTAGTCCTTCTTCTCCAGGATGTAATGGGCTCCTCTGTAGTTAGGCTCCTGGTACGCCACCCAGCTGTGGTCAGGAGAGAGAGGTGGGAAATGTGACTGATGTATTTTTGCTAAATACATGCACACACGACACTGAACAGAATAAATAGCTCAGACCTTTAACATAAGTGAAACTGTACTCACGTTCCGCCCATTACTCTGACGGAGGACACTCTGTTAAGGCTGTAACGGCTCATCAGGTTGGGGATGTCATCATGCAGCTCTGTCTTCTTGCCTGAGAAACCTGCCCTCTCAAACAGCTGTGCACGGGGAGGGTTATTGTCCTAGACCATGAAATACAGGCAAACAAACCATTTTTGCGTTTATGATTTTGGATCATACCATCACATGTTTCATTTATTTTTTTTACAACCAGTGGAAATTACATTTGTTTTTTAATATTTTTTATTATTATTGAATAAAATGTGTGTCTCACTTGTTTCACAGCACGAACAGAGGAGATGTGGTCACCCTGAGCACACCACCTATCAGTGCAGTTGTACTCCCCCCTGTCAAACATGTCCCACAGGTACTGACGTCCTCGGAAGTTCTCATGTTCATATGCCACCCATCTACACAAGAACACATATCACAGTTGAAATGCAAAACATATCTAAATGGTCTTGATTTGGCTAAATGTCATTACATTTAACAAAAAAAAGAAGAAGCAAACATGATTTAGTTTAGCTATAAAAATGTTGATTGAATCAAAATGTGGAGTAATCATTAATGTTGCATTTATAAATGTTAAAATAAGGTCTTGTGATACAAAACTACCATGTACTCACGCTCCACTCTCCACCTGGACAGAGTTGCATCTGTCAGGAACATTTTTTTCACTGAATTTCTGACAGTCAGAGGTCAGGTCCAGTCGCCGACCTGCAAAGTTCCTCTGCTTGAAAAGGGTCACCTGAAAAACATACAAACTAATGTTAAAAAAAACGCCACTTGAACATGAACATTTATTCAAGTATTTACTAAGCACAATAGGATTAAAATAATTTTGGGAGAATACAGATACCCTGAACTAATACCTAGCTTCTTTTTCAGCGAATTTTCCTATTTTATAACTTTTTAAAACACCGCTAAAACAGCATAAGAAGAAATAAACAGAGTAGCAAACAGTTAACAGAAAATTCCCTACTGATATATTATTCATCAGCATCAAACTCAATGCTGAGTCACTATGCACGGATAATCTATAAAATATTGCCATCCAAATATACTCTTACCCTCCCACTGGACCCGTAGAAGGCATGTTGGAGCACAGACCCCAGCTTGCTAGAGAAAAATGTCAAATACTCTTAGCACATTTTCAAACATCAACAATCAAACAATTTCCATAAAATATGAAAGAAATTCATTTTAAATGGATTCTTTTCTTTCCAAACGTTTATGATATAACATTTAAATTAAAGTTAAATTTAATTTGTTCCATAGCAAGGTAAATGTATATTTATGTAAATTTATGTGTGGAACAATTCAGTTTGCCAATTAAAGCATAGCAGTATGTTATTTCAGGGCTGTCTAAATGGTATGGTTGTGATCAGAACTATACATTTACTCTCTTCCACAAATCTGTTATGAGTCATGGATGTTGGTCTGCCTTTTTCTGCAATGAATAATACAGTCCTCTTGGGAGGTGCAGATCTGATTGAAACTCGAAAATTTGGTGTCCAAATGCACCGCAAACATACCTGTTTTTTTTGACTAGTCCGGGGACCTTAGTAAAGATGTTCATGTCAGCTCGTGGTGGCCACTAAGACGGTCCTTAAATACAGCAGGTACATAGAAACAGGGAGTGCTAGAATGCTCATACTCTTTCTGCTGCTCTCTCTATAGTCTGTCTTTGTATTGATATGCTAAACACATACAGTATGCTGCCTATGTTTTGTAAAAGCCTTTAGCCATATGTGCATACAGAAACTCAAATGCACACGTGTAAAAGCTTAAACACATCAGTAGAAGATGCAAGAGAACACATGTAAATATGATGAACCAACATACATTGAACAGATTCTCCTTCATACACACCTAAACACACAACACAGGAACATAAACGTACAGTAAAAGAGTGCAGTGTCAACACTTTCTGGAACAATTCAACATTCTTTTCAATGCATGTTGTAACTGTATTCATGTTTGAACTGGGGCACCAGCAAGTAATATCACAATGACAGCCACACATATGTATAGTAGAGATCAATCCAACCATGATTTTCTATAATATTGGTCTATATTTATTATCCTAGTTCAGTCGGAATTGGATTATAGTAGTATTTAAGCAAGGGAAAAATATGCAAATATTTTATATACTTCTATATATTATATTCTGCACTTTATAAAATAACATTATACATTATAAATAAATGACTAACTTATCCTCTAACAGCTACACACATGGTCAGAATTGTTGGTACCCTTGGTGAATATGATCAAAGAAGGCTATGAAAATATATCTGCATTGTTAATCCTTTCACAAAAAAATTCACAAAACTCTAACCTTTCATTGGAGAATAAGAATTTAAAATGGGGGGGAAATATCATTATGAAATAAATGTTTTTCTCTAATACACATTGGACACAATTAACGGTACCCTTTTATTCAATACTTTTTGAAACCTCCATTTGCCAAAATAGTATAGGAGTTTTCTCCTATAATGCCTGATGAGGTTAGAGAACACCTGATGAGATCACAGACCATTCCTTCATCCAGAATCACTCCAGATTCCCAGCTCCATGACGGTGCTTCTCCTCTTCAGTTCACCCTACTCCTTTTCTATAAGGTGCCGGTCAGGGAACTGGAATGGCCATAGCAGAAGCTTGGTTCTGTGCCCAGTGACCCATTTTTGTGTTGTTTTTAAGATTATTGTCCGGTTGGAAGATCCAAACGTGGCCCATTATAATATTTCTAACAGAGTCAGTCACTTTTTGATTTTTTTTATCTGTTGGTATTTGATAGAATCAATGATGCCATGTGTCTAAACAGGATGTCCAGGACCTCCAGCAGAAATATAGGCCCACAACATTCAAAATACAGCAGTATTTTTAATTGTACACATGGGGTACTTTTTATCCCTGTGTGCACCAAACCCATCTTGAGTGTTTGTTGCTAAAAAGCTATTTTTTTAGTTACATCTGACCATAGAAGCCAGTCCCGTTTGAAGTTCCAGTCGTGTCTGACAACTGAATATGCTGGAGATTGTTTTTGGATGAGATGATTTTTTTTCTTGAAGACCTCCCAAACAACATGTGGTGATGTAGGTGCTGTTTGATCATTTTTTTTTAGGGTTTTCTGACCCCAAAACTCAACCTTTTTCAGCAGTTCTCCAGCTGTGATCCTTGAAGAGTCTTTGGCCACTCAAACTCTCCTCCTCACCGTGCATTAGGACGATACAGACACACGTCCTCTTCCAGGCAGATTCAAAACATTTTCTGTTGATTGGAAATTCTTAATTATTGCCCTGATGGTGGAAATGGGAATTTTCACTGCTCTAGCTCTTTTCCTAGAGCCACTTTCAAATTTGTGACGCTCAATTATCTTTTGCTGCGCATCAGAAATATATTCTTTGGTTTTCTCATTGTGATGGGTGATTAATTTGGAATTTGGCCTTTGTTTTCCCTTTTATTTATATTTCTGTGAAACAGGAAGCCATGGCTGGATAATTTCATGTTCATAATCACCCTGGTGTGCTTAAAATTGTGAATATGAATGGGAATATATTTCAGCTATATTTTACTCATAAGAATTTCTAGGGGTACCAATAATTGTATCCAATGTGTATTTGAGGAAAAAAAACATTTATTTCATAATGATATTTCCCCCCATTTTAAATTCTTATTATCCA